ATCCCTGACTTCTTAAAGAGTTATCAGTACTTTATTTACATTTACAAATGTAAGGTTTGAAACTGTGTTTACCACATTGATAACTGTGTACTATTAGCAATTTAAAAAAAAAGGGACATCATCAACACAGTTATCATTGACGTAAGTACAAACTTGACTTTTGTAAATATAAAACATGTTGTAACAGAGAGAGGTATAGACAAACACACCCACATGAATGCACACACGCAAATATAACTTTTATTGACTGGAAATGGAAACGGTGTTTATATATCAAAGTACAATTTGGGTTAAGATGTGTGTTTACCGATTAGAAACACGATCTCAGGGCAGGAGGCGATGTTTTAAATCTGGGTCACTAGTAAAGAATGGGGATGTGCGAGATACTTGGTTTTGTTTAACAGTATTTGTTTTGATTAAAAGGTTGAATCAATGTTTAGATATCCCAAAGTATAATTTTGGTGAAGCGAGAAGAACTCGTGATTGAGATAAGGTAAATAATTGGAGAATAGGTTTACATGTCAAGGGATAGTTTTTGGTACTCGTGGTAGCTGCGTGCCGGGCCGAGGGTCAGTTGTGATCAGCAGATCCTTTTTCTATATTAACTCGAGTTTTTGCTAATAAAGGAGAGTCGGGAAAAGAGATTGTAGCCAAGAGAGTCACGAGCCTATCGTCGCAGTGATTCGAAAGATTTGCGGGAGAATTTTGGAGGAGAGAGAGAAGACTAACCTCTGTTCTGAGAAGTCTGTATGAGACGGGACTATTAGTCATAAACCTACCCCAGACGATTCAATACGCGTTTATCACACACAAACCCTCACTCTGTTGGGAATTCACTGGATGCATTTTGTCTTATTCTTTTTCTTTTCTCATTTATGTTAAATGATTTTATTCTCCCTGTAACCTCTGTTCTGATGTTATTTTCTTATATAAAAGACGTTAATATTTCCCCCATTGTTGTCTGGCTTCTGCAGATATTATTTCTTGTTTTATTTTGCCACATTCTAAACTTCCTAGCGTCAACTCTCACAGCCGTGTCCACATCCCCAGTCGACCGTGAATGTATGGACAACACCCTGCTTACTGGATCTAAAAACTAACACAGCGTGGGCAGCGAGCAGGACTTGACCAGTTGACCGGTCGAAATAATCTACGGGTACTGAGGGAGCGTACGGCCAGTTACCCCTAAGTTCGGTTCAGACCGAGTGGACACCTCAACCCAAAGAGGAAGACGCCTCTAGGTTGAGGGGCTGGGGACGAAGTGGTAGAATGTACAGGTAATTCTTTAAGAAATCAACGATCGTTTTGATACAGTATTTATATTATGAAAACCGGCGGAAGAGGGCAGCGCCAGTCGAGCTGGGGTAACCAAGGTGGACCATGACAGACCAAGAATTTGACATCCCGATGCAACCACGTTTGCCAGATCTCGCCTGTCTCAATCCCGTTTAAGCCGCGTGGGACGCGCTTCTGGCCAGGTGTGTGGGCTTCTCCGTAACACATAGTTGTCCATTAAATTCACGTGAATAGCCTCGTCAAACTCTCTTTGACTTCGCTTTCAACCACTCTTCAGTACGTCCAGCGACGATGGTGCCACGGGTCACAGGACCAGGATTGGTTAGATTGTCCTTCAGGATTAGGCTGGGCCTTCATAACCATCTCTGTAACTGCCACCAGAAGGGAGGAAGGGAATAAGGAGAGAGGATGACGACCCCCATGCTCGAATGCAAGCGAGTGCCGACTAACTATATTATGAACAAAATTCTACTTCTAAAATGATAAAAATAAACAATCAATAATTTTCGATTCTGTCAAATACCATGTTTTGAAGATGGTCTAGCTTCTTTTTTTTTTACAATGACCCACAGCAAGACAAACTCTGTTCACAAGGTTCATTTATTTAGCATCGAAAATTTTGTATATATTTCTTATGATCCACCCAAATTGGAACTGCATATATCTTTTTGTACTACTATAAAATTATTACTTTTAGAAAAACAAATTTAAAAGAAATTCCGAGATAAAGTACATAATCTGCATCGAGTTTGACAAACAAGATACATAAACTCAATGAGAACAGATTATATATATATATATATATATATATATATATATATATATATATATATATTTATCTCGTGACCCACTAAAGGGTCGGGACCCACAGTTTGAAAAATCCTAGCTAACCAATGCTAATCTACAACAATTACAAAAAGGAAAATCTTCACGGTTTAATGAAGGTCTAGTGAATGCTGATATACTAAAACTATTTCCCCAAAATATTCTTCATTATTTTTTTATGGCGAACCAGCCAATTTAAGTTGTCTCGGAAAAAAGTGTTGCTAATCTGTACATTTTCTATTGATAACGTATACCACGGAAAAAAAAACTTTATGAAGAAAATATCTGGTTGAAACAACAGAAAGACGATAAAAGAATTTACAGCTCAAGAAAAAGAATTGTTAAAATATTGGGAATTGGACGCATACTTTTCATTCGACCGGCTGTTGCAAAGGCTTAACTCTCTGAAAACTTGCCACTTACTTTTAGTCCATAACATGGAAACTGTCTCCAGGCTGTCAAGTTTGCAACTAGAGTGAAACCCTTTAAAGATTCGCTGTTATCAACTCCTGGCCTAGAGGCTGATGCAAGCATTCTTGTTCCAGGAGAGGCGTCTGATTGGGAGATTGGAAGTTTTGAGGAGCATGGAACCACCACTTAACTGTTGTTGTTCTCAGGTTGACGCTCACTCGGAGTGGTTGCACATGTTAAGGTCCCAATTATGAGTAAATAGTGAACACCCAAACAAAAATAAACAGTACATTTTTATAATAAAATGACCAAAATCATATTTTTATAGCAAAATGACAACCAGTGCAACGCTAAAAAAATATAAAAATACATTTTTTATAGTAAAATTACCAACAGTACATTTTATAATGATTTTCTAAGCGGAGCTTAGATGTGATACAAAGCCAAAAGTATGAGGTAGCCAGTGAGTATCGAACTCACTACTCAGTTATAATTGTTCTAGTGAAACAATTACACCACGTCGAGGAGCTCAAAAATACATTTTATGATCTACAAAATATATATCTAAAAAAACATACCTTTACCCTGAAACTATAAAATTTTGTACAAAATATCTGTAGTTGAAAGCATAAAATTACGTAAAACATATTTAGATTTCAGCATTAAATAACCCATACAGGTGTTGATATGCCGCGAAACAAAATCAACAAACTAACAATATCTTTTTATAGTAAAATTACCAACAATACATATTTAAAGTAAAATAACCAACAATACATTTTATCTGTAGTTGAAGGCATAAAATTGCATTCAAAATATAGTTAGTTGAAGCCATAAAATTGTGTTAAGAATATTTGATTTCAGGATTAAACAACCCATAGAAGTGTTGATATGCCGCTAAACAAAAGCAACCAACATTGTTCCAGCATTAATAGCAGCACAGATTGTTGAAGTAGAAACCTTTGAAGACGCAAACACTTCAGATGATGAAGATGGTACAGCGATACTTTGTGATTGTTGATATTCATGTAAAGTACCCAACAGAACCACACTTTGTTTGTGAAATGTGTAACACATGAACTCGTACATACTCTTCTTCAGTTTGACCCTTGTCAGTCAAGACTTGAAGATAATTTTGACAGTTTTCCAAAATATGAAGTTCAAAGTCATTTCAGCGCAGGTAGAAGAAACAAGTTGAAAGTGGTTAGACGATAACTGGATTAGTCACCAAGCGCAAGCAATAGGCTTTGTTTGGCGTCTGGATTTTTGAGCATCGGTCAGCAGGTTAGAGCGATACCAAAAATTAAATCTACTTGAAAAATGTTTTGTTAAAAGGTACAAATTAAAATAAATTAAATTAAAATAAGATAGATTAAAATAGGCCGAATATAAAAAAAAATGAAAGTCTACTAAAAAGTCGAAAAAGATTTTTGCCTTGTCAAATTTACATTACTGAACTGTTATGTTATATCAGTCCTCGTATATGGCAGTGAATGCTGAACAATCTCCTCATAGATGAAGAAGAAACTTGAAACAACAGAAATGTGGTTCCACAGAAGACTGCTGAGAATACCATGAACCGAATATCGGACAAACGACGATTCCAAAGACAATTGCAACGAAAAGGACACCAGGAAGCGTCAGTTGAATTTCTAGGGCACATAAGGAGGAAAGAGGTTTTGGAAAATTTGATACTCACAGGACAGATTAAAGGTTAAGAAAGACTGAGAAAAGCAATGCAGAGTTGAAGTGAATGGATGACAGAGTAGGGTTTGAGAACGATTGCAAAAAGACAAAAGTTATTAAGGGTTACAAAGGACAGGAAATTGTGGAGAGCCATGATTGCCAACGTCTTGAAGGGACATGGCATATAGAAGAAGAACAACAAAACGGTCTTGGCTGACTGTGTAGCAATCGAAAGAGTTAAAGATAAAATGATTGCGGCTCGTATTATAGATGCAGTTCTGTTTGGAAAAGTAAAAATTGATTAACATTCGGTGTTGATCGTGAATTTTAAATCTATATTCCTCAACTACAAATGAAGGCTTTTTTAAGCGCTTCACTAAAAACTGTAGATTGCTGGAAAAGATATTTCAGGCCTGACATGCAAAATGATCTCTCATAGTCCTTATCAGATGACATTCTGTCGGAGATAATAGCTGCTAAGTCCTTTATAATAATTGTGAAATCTACTATTGATATCAGAAGAACTGACCAGTTTTCTTTATCCTTACAATATGTTAAAAGTGAAAGGTGATCTAGTAAAAGGATTCATACAATTTAGCAAATTATCTGAAGCAACGACTGTAGATGTTTTTCAGCATTCGTCTTCCAGCAATCAAAAAATTAGGACACTCAATAGCTACATATTACAGTTGGCCTTACGAAGAAGCGAGCGTAATGTCGACTGATATTATTGGTCTCGAAAGAAAGATTCTGGAAGTTTCTCTAAATGTACTATTGACATATGAAACACCGATTTCCGTATGATCACCGATGTTAAGCAACGTCGAGCCTGGTCAGTACTTAGATGGGTGACCGCTTGGGAATACCAGCGGCTGTGATCTTAGATGTGAGGATGGCGTAATGGATAACAGCTCGAAATTGGAAACGGGAGAGCCGAGTTCCAATTCCAGTCGACTTTGTTATATCCACCCACGCGCAAATGCCCTTGGAAAAGGTATAAATTCAATTCCTCTCTCATCTATAGTGTAATTAGTAGAACTTTTATCAGTAAAAATATTGTCCGCAAACAAATTATTACAGTCTCAAAATATTTTTCTGGCTTTAAATAACCCTCAAATGTTGTTAGGTTGTAAAAAAGGAAACAGTGCTGTTATCTTGGATGTGTGGGTGGTGTAGTATCCAATCGTAGTTCTTTAAGATCCCAAACATTTTGACAACGTAACAGTAGATAGGTTCGCCTATCGCCCGATTCACACTCCTTACCTCTCTCTTGAACAGGATTAGAGGTTTATCCCTTGTTTCCTGTTTAAGATTGGGTTTCCGGTTCATTCTCCTAAAGTCTTATTCTCTTTCACTCTCAGTAACCTCTTGTCTTGGTGGCATTATCGCCTTGCTTGGGTTGAAATGATTAACAAAAAAAAAAGAAATCAAAAGATAATGTTAAATTAGAAACTTTCACAGCTACGTATTCAGACGCCATACTTAGTAAAAATGAACTCGTACAAGAGTTCCTTTTATTTGAAGACGCGTTTATAGAGATAATGAGCTTTAACGGTTTCGTAGGTTCAAAAGCCGAGCAACATCATAATGTACTTCGAATCATGATTGCTATTGATATGTATTCCATCTATCTACATTGTATCATATTTTCTGACCCTACCAATTACTAGAGCTGTTGTGAAACGATCCCTTAGCATTGAGGTAGCCCAACCTCAGAATCGTACCTTTGTTCTGAAATGGGTAAAGATAGATTCTATGGTTTAGATTGACTCTCCATTGATACAGAGCTATTGAGATTGAGTAAATAAACTGCTATTGTTATTGGCCTTGGCCTGGCATATTGCCTTTCGTCACTTTTTCACAGCCGTAACGTAGCTTCCTTGTACCGTTTCTATAAATATTTTCATGGTAATTGTTCCGGTGAACTTTCCTCTATGGTACCTAGATTTTATGAATTTAAATGCAGTACTAGTTTGGCAAGAAGATCTCATCATTTTACAGTTGAAATGACTAGATATAACCGTAAGTTATATGCGAACAGTTTCTTCTCTCGCACTTCTCGCTTGTGGAATTCTCTTCCGGCGCCGTGCTTCCCAGTCAACTTTGATCTTCAAAAATTTAAATGCAATGTTAATCGTTATCGCCTGTCTTCTTAATTTCTGTTCTTTTAATTCTTGCTCTCTTCCCTTAATAATGTTTTCTTTTTATCATATTTTCTTACACTCAGTAATCCCTTGCGTCTTCATTGCTTTGCTTGGGGTGAAATGATTTTTAAAAAATCCCGCTTTTTGTTTTATAACTTTTCCCTCTTTACCATCTCTGTTTATCTTTGATCTGCCATCGGTTTTGTTTCCTGCTATTTCTCTTTCTGTGAATGATATGATATTTCTTTTGCTAGTGTTATAAACACGCGTATGATAACACGAGAGAACAAATGAAACTACAAGTACCGCTGATGAGGCGAAAAGGAAAGAAGACAAGAATTAAGATAAAATGATTTGTATTGCAGCAGATATAGAGGATCAAAGTGGAATGTCTCTGTGTGGGCTAGGGAAACGACTTGGAGGAAGGGTAAAGACGATAGGGCCTGGAGTTGATGCGTGTGTTGTAAGTTCTATGTTAACAGTTTCTTCTCTCGCAGTTCTCACTTGTGTAACTCTTTTTCGGCTTATTGCTTCCCAATCCACTTTGATTTTTGGAAACTTAATTGCAATGTTAATCGTAATCTTTTGTCTTAATTCCTTTTCTTTTATTCTCTCTCCTGCATAATTTTTTTTCTCGTATTCTCTCACATTCAGTAGCCTTTTGTATCTTGATGGCTTAGGCTGAAATGATTTAAAAAAAAAAAAACTAAATTTTGCAGCCTGGACGAAAGAGTATTTTGTAATTTTTCGTATTGCTTCGTTTCTATTTTCATTTACGTTTGAAGTTAAATATAGAATAATTACTTGACGTACGGGTTTCATTTTAAATTAAATTTAGATTTATGCGCTCATCGTAAAACCTATTTTTTTATATTTTGATTTTAAATACAAAATAACAATTATCTTAAAAACTGTCTTCTTTGTGTTTGAGATATTTAGCAGAACGCCCACTCGTTTCAAATACAACACAAAGCTTTTTAAACGTAGAGGTCTCGCACGTACGCTGATCAGGAATCGAAAAATAGTGTTTCTCCTTCCCCACTCCAGAATATATTTTATATATTTAAATACAAAATAAAATAATGAATTTTAAATTATCTGGTACGTGTTGGGTTATCGTCTTTTTTTTATGAACTCGCTTCCTGTAACTTTAGTACACGTCTTCTCCATACGTATAACTTTTTTAACTGGGCAAATCGCTATGACGTGAAAAGTAAAACATTGCCAACGTTCAAATGACATTGTTTGAACTCAAACTGCAAACTAAATTATTAACGTTCTTACCAGACGGGCCACGACGTCTACACCTTGGAAACCATGCGAATGTTAACAAAGGCGATGTGGTAATTATATGATTAAGATATAAATCATTTTCATTTCGGAAAATCATGAAAGACTTAAAGAAAACAGAAAAGGACATAAGTAAAGAAGAGGGAAAAACTAATGAAAACAAAAGGAAAGGAAAAAAGAAAAAACAATTGAAAACAAAAGGAATGAGAAGAAGAAAAAGAAGAAAAAGACAAGAAAATAAAAGAGAAGAGACGAAAATAAAAGAGAAGAGAAGAAAATAAGGAGAAGAAAAGTAAAGAGGAAAAAAATAGAAAAGAGAAAAGAAAAGAAAGAAAAGGAAAGAAAGAAAAGAATGAAAAAGAAAAGAAGAAAAAAGAAAATAAGAAAAGGAAAGAAAATAACAAAACTATCCAGTCAAAAACAATTACAGAATTCACATAGCCGAATATACGCAGTTTTTTAATCAGTGGACGAGTCCATTGTGTGTGATTGAAAAGGGCAGAATAGAATAGAAGGAATGAAGGAAGAAAAGAAGGAAGAAAGGAAGGAAGCGGTGTAAATATGTGTGTGCTATACTGACAATAGATTCTAGTTCCTATACAAATTAGCGTTAATAACAGGAAACGAAAGAATCCACAGCTTGCTACCCATTCATTAAATCCCCCATGTGATATAGAATTTCCTTCTTCACACTTTTAACGTGATCACTTTTAAAGGGCCTATGAAACATTGGTACTTGCTACAGACATCAGGCAATGTTCCGATTCTACGTTTCTATTGTAATATGGAGGTTCTGCTCGAAGATTAGCTCCCCAGAGTTCAGATGTATCTTGCTTTACGACTCTCGGCGAGAATTTACGGTCTATGAAGGATTGAACTAAAAGCAATAAAGTGTAGATGAATATTGAAAAGATGTACTTCTAAAACTTATGTTCCCTTCCACTCACGTATCAGCCGCTGACATCAAGGCAGGATTTGTATTTTCTCCTTTCAATGAGAAAGTTTTGGGGACTGGAGAAGCAGATTAAGATGCCCAGTTAACATTTCGATGTTAAATAATTCAAGTTCAATAAGAGATATGTCCGCCAGAGTAATAAAAAAAATAATAATAAAATACTTTCTAATATAAATGTCGATACTGAAGATAAGAGAGAAGTAGGTAGGTTCGCCTATCGTCCGGTTCGCGCTCCTCACTGGTCTTTTGAACAGGAGTAAAGGTTTATCTCTTGTTTCCTGATTGGGTCTCCAGTTCCTTCTAACATTCACTACAACTCTTTACTTCTAACGTCTCCGCCTAGACTCTGAAATTTTATTATTTATTTGTTATTGTTCCTCAATAGGAGTAGATAGATTCGCCTATCGTCCGGTTCGCACTCCTCACTGGTCTTTTCAACAGAAGTAATGGTTTACCCCATGGTTCCTGTTTAGGATTGGGTTTCCAGTTCCTTTTAAAGTCTACTTCAAGTCTATACTTCGAACGTCTCCGCCTAAATTCTGAAATTTTATTTACTGTTTTTTTTTTGTTTTTTTTTTATTTTTTGGTTTTTTTTTCTCAATAGGATCAGATACTGTCGTCTATCGTCCAGTTCACACTCCTCCCCGGTCTTACCAAATTAAAGATTTGTCCTTTGTTTCCTGTTTAAAACTGGGTTTCTGGTTCCTTCTAAAGTCTTTTTCATTCTATTTCACTCCCAGTAAACCCTTGCGTTTTAGTGGCATTATCGCCTTGCTTGGGATGAACTGATTAAAAAAATAAAACAAAAAAAATGAATACTGATTCTATCCAAGAATTTCTCTTGTTGACATTAGGTGCAGCAAAAGCCCCTGCTGTTAGTTCTAATATGAGTGTCTAAGTAGCTATGGGGAAGTAGTCTACTCAAATGCTCACTTTTGCTGAGCCGTAAAAAACAAAACAGTCAGTCAATTCCTAATTAGTACGCCCCGCGCTTGGCCAGTCATGTGATTATTAACGGCCAGACAAGAACGCTCTAGCTTGAACAGCGAACAGTTTAAAAATGTGTTACATGCTTTCCCTCCAACGTTGAAAAGGAAAGTTAGCGAATATTAGAAACTCTGTCCTTATAAATATAGCACGTCATGTTGCAAGAAGTTGTGGTCGGGTTGCTTCTTCTCTGCGCTGTGATTATTTCAAAAACTGTTCACTGTCCAAAGCGTCACTGACTAGCAAAGGGTCAGATGTTGCATACTAATTAGGAAAAGAGAAAGGAAAGTTAACGCCACATATTTAAGGCGTCCTGATGAAGTCAATAGAGACAGCACACGGCAAAAGCATTAAATGAGGAATATGTTCTATATATACTGATCGCCTAGCAGCCCTGTGCGTAAACCAAGCAATCAACCGCAGCCGATATTCAAACACGATTCTATTCATCTGTTCTGTTTCACAATAAACATTACGTTAGCAGTCACTTCTTTCAGAGAA